TGATAATATTATTTCTTTATGTGAGAATTGTCAGCGGCTTCAATCTTGTCAGAAAAAATGTAAATGTAAAATTGAAGTTTATATTCAATTTTTTAATCAGTTAATTCAATAAAGGTTATTTTTATTCTTTTTCTGCTCAGTTTTTAAACCGAGCAGATTTTTATCTGCTCAATCATGAATATTGTTAATTTATCAAATGAAATTTTGCTTCTGATATTTCGTCAACTTTTCAAATCTAACAATATAACGTTGGTCAATTTACCAACAACTTTATCTATCAAATTAATATCACGCAAGTTCTACTATCTTTATCATTACCTTTTCAATTTATATGGAACCAAATATGTTTTGTTAAATACGGGTCTGGTTGAGGTTTACAACATCATAAAAAAAGATGATTATTATTTTCTATTTGAGAAAAGAGAAAATCAATTAATCAGAAGTAGTCATTATTTAATTTACAAAGAAATCGAATTTATATATTATTCTGAAAGTAAGTTCTTAATCTCCCCCAATAATGAATACTCATTAAAAATCTTTTCAATTGAAGACTATGAAAGATCGAAATCACTTTGTTCACGGTGTTCGAAAAGATCGTATTGTATTTTTTTTGGTATTTGGTTCAAGGATGAATTTTATGATTGTAAAGTTGAAGGATGTGAAACGAGAAATCTAAAATATCATTGTCCCAAGATTTGCAAAAATTGTTATGAAATCTATTTTATGAATTTCGATGATGAGTTTGCGGATTCAATCGAAAAACAGAATAAATATCTTTTTGGTTAATTGTATTTTCTACTCAGTTGTTTAACCGAGTAGAAATTTATCTATATAATCATGTTTTCACGTTCTGATCTGATCGAATCTGAGGAATCTAATATATTTTTTATCTATGATGCGATCGACTCTTCCAATTTAAAGAAAAGATATTTGTTAACTTTACACACTGTTCGAGCTGATGGAACCAAATTTAGGATTAACATATATGAGGAAGATATAGTGTTTTTCGATATTAAAATCAAATCTGAAGACTTGATACCGGAATATAAAGAAGAGTTTCTACCAGATTATTATGAGTTGTTTGAAGCACGACCTTTCGATTCAACAGAAGAACATCGGTTCCTTCATTTATTTTATCTGTCTCTTAGGGATCGTAAGAAAGCCTTAGACAAAATTTTTGAAAAAGAAAATGGGATAAAGGAAAAATATGAAGAAAAAGAAAAAGAATTTAAAAGATCCTTTTCAGACGAAAGAAATCGTGAATTGCTCGAGGTTTTTGAACGGTACGATACATATTCAGATGCTAATTCATATTATTATCGAAAAGTGGCGTATGAAAAAAACTTTAGACTTGTTGGATGGTACAGAATAGATTCATTAAATTTTCATGACGACATGACAATATCGTTTAATCAGATTGAAAGAATTGAATATTCAGAAACACCAAAACTTCTTTTACTTTATTGGGATATTGAAACAATCTCTTCGCGAGGACCTGGTTACTTACTATCTGGAGAAGAACCTGATGACTATGTATATATGATTCAGGTTGATATATTCTTTGGCAAAAAGATCAATAGATTTTGTTTGACGACTATACCAATCAACTATAAAAAATTTTTGGTAAAATATGGATCTAGTTTACAATGTGATTCTAAAGATTACCATATAATTCAATTGGAATCTTAGCAAGAATTAATATTAAAATTTGCGGAATTGTATTATAGTTATTGGCCAGACATCGAATTAGGGTTCAATACAGGGGGTTATGATTGGAATTTCATATTACGAAAGTCGATGATACTTGGGATTTATGACCGATTCGTTTCAACAATAACAAACACAAAGTCCAACATCAATCTAAATATCCAGGAAATAAAGATATGAGTTGTTGATTTGAATGTTGAAAAAGTAAATCTGAAATACGAGTTCGCAGGAATAAATATAAATAATTGGAAGATAAAAGTTAATCCTATGGAAACGATGGAATGTGAATTCTTAAAAATCCCAAGGACAATTTTCATCGATTTGTTGATTTGGTCAAAAAAAACATTCCAAACTGAAATTAAAAACACGCTCGATGTAGTATTGAAACGTTGTGGTCTATCCGGCAAGATCGATTTACCTTACTTACCAGAAAAGGTTCGACTGATTTACGATGTATATTTGTTTATGCAAATGCGATAATTTTTTGTCAAGATAAAAAACTTTTATCTCAACTTGCGAAACAACTCCATAAGAAAACCAAGATCCAAATTGATCAATGTGAATCAGCTTTTTTAGTTTCTGACTATGAGTTGGAAGATTATGTGATCGAATTAGCGTACTATTGTTCAGTCGATACCATGAGATTACATGAACTTAATATTAAAAGAAATATTATTGGAGATTATATTCAATTAGCAGAACTCTCGTACGTGATGATATCAAATGTTTTCACTAATGCTGTAGGTTGCCTTGTTCGAAATTTGTTTGGGAAATATGCGTCTCAAAAAGAAATATTAGTTTCTTCAAGAGTAAAGAGAATAGTCGAGCAAGGGAAATATGAAGGAGCTTTGGTTTTAGTTCCAAACAAATCTTTTACTACACCTGTGGCGGATCTTGATTTTTCATCGTATTATCCTCATACGATAATTTTAAACAACATATCAACTGATACCCGATTAAACAATTTAACCACTGACTCAAATATCATAATTGATAATGAAAAAACCTACGGTATTTTCAAAAAACATCATGGTGATCGAGAAAAAATGGGGATCATGCTCTTAATGTGTAATGATCTTTTAGATGCTTGTAATGAAGAAAAAAGGTTAATGAAAGTTCATAAGAACGAAAATTCTAAATATCTTTATCATTCGTCAAAATCTAACGCGTTGAAGATATTGGCAAACTCAGTATATGGAGAAACTGGTTATAAATATTCTCCACTATATCGTGAAGAAATAGCATCAAGCATAACAGCATTTTGTCGTTACATGTTAAAGCAAGTAATTGAATATATCACTCAATTAGATTTTATCATTATTTATGGAGACACAGATTCTATCTTCTACACTTTACCAGAATTTTTTTTTAACGATCTTCATAATCGATATGGATCGAATTTGATAACTAAAGAGGAATATTGGAGAGAGATGGTGAGAATAACAATCGAACAATCAAAGATTCTTGAGACGAAAGTAAACGAATACTTAAAAGGAAAAACAGGGTTTTCGTATCTTCGTATAGCATACGAAAAGACAATGTGGCCAGCAATTTTTATCGCAAAGAAACATTATTTTGGGGTTGAACATGTTTCTAAACCAAACTTCACTTCCCCTTCTTTGTATTTGAGGGGTGTGAAACTTGTGAAACGAAACATATCAAAATTTTACAAGATAGTTGCTGAGGAAATGATTTGGTCAGCTCTAGGGTTTAATCACGAGGACAAATCTATAAAGCAAGAGGATATAGATTGTAAAGAGTCAACATTTCAAATAATCAACAAATATATTCGTCAGAAAAATATATCATTAGATTTGTTCGAGTTAACAGCAAAATACGATTCTTCATACTCTCCAATATCTTTAATCGAATTTGGAAAGTTATTCAATCCTCATTTACATCACAAGGAAGAATTAAAACGAATAAGACAAAAACAAAAAAATTCAGAAACCAAAAAAGGAAATCGAATGGTGATACTATTTGCTTCTGCTATAGAACGTAATAAAAAACCTCTAGAACCTGGTCGATTCTATTATTATATTGTGTCTAAAAAAGGCCAAGATAAAAAAACAGCAAAAATCTGGCAAAGGATGTTGTTAATCGATGAGTTTGTTTCTAGTAAACATGAGATAGATGTTAATTATTATTTTCAAGTTTACGAGATATAGTTTCAGGTTTAACAGGATATGATGAAAAACAAACTGAATTAATGATAAAAAGAAAGATAGAAGACGGAAATGAAAATTCTAAATGTAAACAGCTTAAAATAGATTCGTTCTACTCAGTTTAAAAGAAAACCAAGTAGAATTTTAAATTTGTAAAAAATGAAACGAAATTACAGGTTCAAACCGTTTACCAGAAAACCATTCTTATTAGCTTCATCATCAAATAAACCAAAAACTAAACGTCATAAAGTTAAACACGAACGAACGATTCAAGTTAATTTTACATCAAACAACTATTTCTCAATCATTCCTAACGAGTTGATCCAAGATATTTTTGACTATCTATACGATGATCCCAAATCCCAATTTTCTTTAGGATTTACATGTCACAACTTATATCAACAATATCAACAGTTTATTTGGAATCTATCGATTTTTAAATTTCATGGAAGGCTTAGAGATCCCCCTTTATTTTTCGAAGTAACAAAATTTAAAAAATCAAAAAAGTTAACAAAAGTTACTTTTCACAAAAGATATTCATATTGTTCTTGATGTAAGAAAAATTCACTTTCATGCAAACCAGAATATCCTTGTGGATGTTGTGTAGGTGATTGTGAGAAGACCGAAGTTACAAAAAAAATATTCACTAATTGTCAAGGAGTAAGATATGTTAAATCGATTGCTCCTTATTGGTCGAGTAATATTTACCTGAGACATGTTGATGCGATAGACGATATCATAACAAAGAGATGTAGAGAAAGCTATTTGTTCTAAGGTTATGTTGTTAAATGGTACTTGTGATGTTGCCATGTGTCCTTATAATCAAGTCCAAGAAATAATATTCTCAGAGTTTTATCAAAGAGTTGATAGAATAGCTCATAAACATTTCATATATGAACCGTGTTATAATTCTTGTCAAAAATCAGCCAACCTACCAATCACTATTCCAAACTTATGGGAACCCGATATCCCTTGGGAATTCATATAAGAAGGTGAAAAAAAATCTTTTCTTTGCAAAGATTTAATATGCGACACAAAATTTTTGATAATAATCTACTTCCCATAAATGATTATATCGAATTGCATAAAATCTATGAATCATTACAACGATCCAAGTTTTTGATAGAATATCTTGCAAATAACGAATATGATATTGACAAATTTAACAACACCATGCTACTTGTTGAGAAGAGAAATAAGCTAAAACAGCAATCAAATATCTATTCTCTAACAATCGAAACCATCCCCGAGTTAGGAATGATAATGATAATAGAAACATTATTTGATACTAAATTTGTCAAGAAGCATATATTTTATTAATTTTTTCATATTTTATTCTGTAATTTTATTACTTCAATTCAATTTATTTTCATTATTTATTAAAAAAAAAAAATACTCAGTTGAATAAACCGAGTATTTATTTTTTCTGATAAATATTAGCCACAAATGGGTAATGAATATCCTGTATTTGATAAAAAACAACCAAAGAAATTAAGTGAGAGTGAAATTGAATCATTTTGTAATGATTACAAAGATTTAAGGTCACAATTATATTATTTCGAAAAAGCGAAAAGATTTCATAAAAAACATAAAAATATGTTATCAAGATCTTCTATATACTTATTTTATGATTTTTCTGTCATTGACACTGATCTGAAATATTTAGGGTTGGTTGGAGTCGCTGGGAATGTACTATATATGATTGATAATAATGTTATTTAATTTTATATTGTAATTTTATATTATAATTCTGTTCAGTATTTTTATACCGAACAGAAACTTATCTTTATAATTTAATATGCCTCGTCAAAAACGTATAAAGAAGAAACCTTCTCCTTACTCTATCAAACAAAAAGATAACTTTAATACTTTACCAAACGAATTATTTCTTTTGATATTCTTATTTCTGATCCCAAATGATATCACCAAATTCTCAAAATACAAGTTAAATGATCAGAGATTCATCGATTTTCAAAAGACAAAATTCATAAATCAGCAATTTCTTTGGTTTTATAGATATTATTTTTCTCAATATGGAACAAAATATTGCCTGATACAAAAGTATAATCAACTTTATTATCCTCCCAAATGTTATAAATGGAATATTCGATATTGTAATATACATACTTGGATCGAAGTTGAAGATGATGAAAACAATCAATCAACACGACATATACTTCGCTATGCTGATCGCTATGCTGATTTTGGAAAGTTGTATTGTATGTCACGTGGTGATATTTTATTATTTATTAAATCAGGTAAGGTTGATGGTTATTTTAAGGAGTATTTTCAATTGGAATAGTTTTTTTTCGAAATGATCGATTTTCAAAATGATATTTTATTATTTATCAAATAGATAAAGTTGATGGTTATGGGAAAAAAACATGTGATATTTGCAAAAGTTTTACATACTGTGCAAAATGCTCCTATGAATTTCGAAGAGATGACGTATTGGAATTAAGAGATAAATTAAAAACAGTTCAATCAGAATATACTATAGGGGGAGGATATATAGTGTATTTTGTAAGAAATTGTAAAAAATGCCGAAAGCATTTATTATCATTAATTTCAAAATATTCATATACTTATATCCGTTCAGTTTAATTACCGAACGGAAATTTTTTTTCGATCACGCTTTCTGTATTTAGTTCCTTTTTATTTATTAAAATCTATATAAACCCAGAAAAATTCCTTTCTTTTGTTTTTTTTTTATAATGGAATTAACTGTTTCGTTAGAAATCGGTTCAAATCTATCTTTCTGTTTGATCGAACTTGCGAAAGCCTTCTCCCTTTGTCTATCAGTAGTCTGTCTAACATCTATCTTTATAATTTTTCTTAATTCCAATAAACAATCATCTAATCAGTCCAAGACTGATTAGATTTTTCTTCACATAATATTTAGTTATTTCTTCAAAGGTGAGAGAGTTCCAACTATATTTTGTTTAGGAATTCGCTTCTTTCACTTAATACTAACTCTCACTTTGCTGCTGATCGGTCGACTGACTGACTGACGATTTCATTTTTTTTTTTTAGATGCCAAAGACAAAACTAAAATATTATGCTGTTCGTAAAGGCAGAAAACCAGGAATCTATTTAACTTGGGACGAATGTAAATCGCAAGTTAAAGGATTTTCTGATGCTAGATACCAAAGTTTTGAAATTAAAACTGATGCTGAAAATTTTATCAATAACAAAAAAGAAACTGTAGTTTTAGATAAAAACAAGATTCAAATTTGGACTGATGGTTGCTGTTTAGGTAACGGAACTAAAGAAGCTAGAGCTGGGATTGGGGTGTTTTATGGAGTTAAAGATCCGAAAAATCTTTCTGAACGACTTCCTGGTGAACAACAAACTAACAATCGTGCTGAAATTTATGCTGTTATTAGAGTGATCAAAAGTTGTGAAAACAAAAAAAAAATCATTAGAAATTTTCACTGACAGTTTACATGTAGTTAATATTATCGGAGAATGGATTGAAAAATGGGAAAAAAATGGGTACATGACGAGTAGTAATCAACCAGTAAGAAATCAGGATTTAATTAGAAAATTAAAAAAACTTATTGACAGTAGAATAGGATCAGTTAAATTAACCCATGTTCGAGGTCATAAAGGTAATTATGGTAATGAACAAGCAGACAAATTATCTAAAATAGGTTCTTTAAAGGATGAGATTATTGAAAAAGATGAGAAAGTTATTTATCGAAATACTATCGATTTTTTACTTTAGATAATTTTATTATTTATTTTTATTATTATTATTTTATCTTTTTATATAAAATAAATATATTTTATCATTAAATAAATATTATGATTTAAAAAACAAGTTCGAAAATGAGATCTCGATTAGAAACAATTCGACTTGTTGAATTGTTTATCATTGAATCGAGGCATTCGAATCTTTTTTTTGTCAGTTCTATAGTACAGAACTGATGAATTTAGAAGGAAAGGAGTGAATATTTGGATGCAGCAATTAATCAATAATTTTATGCGTTTGTTACGACGATTCGTAATGAGACTGGGATCGAGTCGTATCATCGATTCATAACAGCGTATGAATCATCGATACGTGTTCGCGAATCACCGTAAGAACAAATAAAATTTCTTTAAAGTTTTTCTTAATCAGTTGTAAAACCAATTAGATATTTTTTTATTTAAATATTAAAATGTTTTCTCCAGAAATATTTTTAAATATACTAAATCATTATGAATTTACAAATTTTGAAGAAGTTAAAACTTTATCAATAGTTAATAAAATGTTTTATATTCTCATGAAAAGCATTTTATTAAATATATCCTTAAAACGAATTAATTACAACAAATATAAATTAAAAATTAATAACAAAAATGAGGATTGTGATGAATTAAAATTTGACCAAATTTCTACATTATGTCGAGATTGGGTTATTACCGAAATAATTTGGAAAAATTCTAATAATTATTTCCAAAAATTTAATTATATTTGTTTAAAAATATTGATTCCTAAAACAATTTTCGAAAAATATTTAAAAACTTTTATATATTATTATTTTCATCCAAGTAATTTTATTCAAAATGTAAATTCTGATCAGATTTGTATAATAGAAGATGAGTCTAGTTTTATTTATTACCTTCATAGAAATAGAGAAAGTTTTTTATATAGAGAGCTTGATGGGAAGAAAATTTATTTATTATCCGAAGAATCTATTGAATATCAAATTTCTAAATCAAATTTACAACCGACTTAAATATTTTTAATCAATAAATAACTCAAATACTTCGTGATCTAATCAGTTTTTCAAACCGATTAGATTTTTCTTTGTGTAATTTAAAATGTCTCATCCAAGTAATTCGGATTTTGAAACTCAAGAATCAGTTATTGATAAAAAGTCAAAAAAGAAGCAAAGTACAAATTTCACGTGGTTCAGAGAAAATAACAATACAAATTATCGAAGACCAATCATGTATCCTGATAACGATGGACATATAACCGAATATACTCAAATTAAGTTAAACAATAAACAAAATGCTCTTCTTGACAGAAAGCATCGAGACTTTTTGAAGCAACATAAGTTTGTTCTTGATAAAGAAAATAATATTATCGAAGAAACTAGTAAAGAATATTTACTCGAATTACTTTATTTAGCTAAATTAGCAAACATTAAATTTAAAAATAGTTATTCATTTGATTTACGTGAATGTAATATCGAAATTAATTAAAAATAGAGAAGTTGTAGCAATTTCTTTTCCATTTCTTATGTAAATCGATAAATTCGATTTAAATTTTTGAATAATAAATTTTATTTTAATATTACTTTATTTGAATATCTTAAATTGTAAATGAGATTGGTTAATTAAACTTTTTAAATAAACTATTAGCAAATTTAAGAATGGCTATTCATTTGATTTACGTGAATGTTATATATCAATAAAACCTGATCCATTTTTTGGATTTTCTGAACTGCTTTTCTACATTTCAGCAATAGCTTTCAAAGTTTCACCGTTGGTTTCATATTTTTTTTTCAGATTATGAAAATTATCCTGGACGAATTTTTGATATTTAGTTTGTTTTTTTTCTTTTTTTTCTATTTAGAAATCAAAACACAAAAACAAGAAATCACATTCCTACTTGATAAGGAGAATTTTCGTTTGCTACAAAAATATACCTGGTCTTATTATAAAACTAAAAATGAAAACATTTACATTTGGACAAATGACAAAAATCAAAATTATAAAAATTTAAAACTTCATCGATTGATTCATCCTGAATAGAAAATGATTGATCATATTAATCGATGTGGATTAGACAATCGCGAATGTAATCTTCAAGAAACAACATATCAAAAAAAATTGCTTAATTGTAAATTACAAAAAAATAATTTATCTGGATATAATGGAATTACCTATATCAAATCTCTAAATTGTTGGAGATTTCAATATTATGAAAATAACAAACATAAAGCAAAATATTTTTATATTAACACAAAAAGAACCTCTGAACAAGCCAAACAACAAGCGATAGATTTTAAATTGGAGCATGATAAGAAAACAGAAAATAGAAATGGATATCTAGTAAAGTATTAAAAACTTTTGGCGATTTTATTTTAATATTTATTTTAACAAGAAATTATCTTTATTATAAAAATTTTTTTATTTATAATAAAAAAATAAAAAATAAAAAACCCAAAATTTTATAAAATTATATTTTCGTAAAAAAAAACAAAATTTTACAAAAAAAAAAAATACACTTTTATAAAAATACCTAGTAAACATGTTTAACAATATTTTTAAGACATAATAAAAGTATAAATAGTCTAAACTCTTTATATAAAAAACTAAGAAACATGGGTAAAATTTCTAATAAGAAGCTTAAGCAGATTCTAAAAAAAGCATGCAACAAAAAAGATTTCATCAAATTGTTAACCAGTTACGATCCTGATTATGTGATAACAAATCTGACAAACATCAAACGATTAGCTGATATTCACTATACCGATGATGACAAAAAAAAGAAAAAATCCAAATCTAAGAAAGAATCTAAAATA